ATAAAACTACTTTAGATAATCAATTACATTTATTATAAGACAGTTACTCCTCAGGAAGAACTCCACAGCTGTATAACAACAGCTTTACCATGTTTAGCTAAGTTTTCTTATGATGAAGTTAGCTATTCATAAAAGATTAAAAATTATTTTACTAGTATTCTAACCAATAGGCAAACAAGTGATATCTTTGAAAGTTTTAAAACAATTACATTTCAAGTATTTTACAGGAGCCTGCAGTATTTATTTCCAAGACCAACAACCTCAATCTGTCCAAATTCTCTTTAAATCAGGGGTCATTAAATGCTTTAGCATTTGTAAGGAAGCATTTGTAAGGAAGGGTATAAGCTGAGGAGCCTTTCAAAATAGACCAATTCTATCAGCATTTCATAACCTTGCAGGAAAGCCTGACCCTATACAGAGATTAATTATTTTGAACAGTCTCAAAATTCTTTTGCACTTCCAGGATTTGTGGACTTGATAGTATAGAAAGAAATTTAACGGTATATAAAAGGACTCAAATTTTCCTCTGAATGCTAATATGAACTGGATAATATTGATCACAACACTTCCCCTTTCTGGGCCTGTTTGATCATCTATAAGAAATATTCCTGGAAGGGGGAAAAAAAAAAAAAAAACCACCATTGACTTTAATCCATATCTAGTTTTCTAATGCTGTTTCAATCTAAACACAAATGCTACTGTTTAGTCAAATATGGTCAACAGCATCTGCTCCTACATTTCTTTTTGCCTTTTTAAATAAACACAGAGATAAAGAAGGTAGGAACACATTAGGATACTCCTTTAGATCCTGTGAATAATTCATCCGAAATATGGTCTAAGTACATTAACTAAGCATGAGCCAAGTATAGTAGATTTCAGTTATTTATTTTGATTCCAAGATACAAAAAGTGATCAACTTCAGCGAAATTACTTAACTCTGAGTCTTAATATTATATAACAGCTAAACATAACAATTTTAATATTTACATTCTTACACCCTTAACACTCTATGTACAGATCTCCATTTTCTATTTACTAATAGCCCATCATTTCCTTTCACTTGGGGGATCCAACCTATACAAAGGACGGAGAATATATGGCGACTTGAGCAGTTCTACTGATAAAGTAGATACTATTACATTTTACCACATGATACTATAAACTTTGCATTTTATTTTCATAACTACTATTCTTGCTAGCTTTCATTCTGGCCCTATTTCACAAAATCCTACAGGACTTATGATTTCATCAAATAGTCTCTCCTCACCTCTGAAGAGAAACAGAATTGATAGTATTATAAGACTGTAATGACTAGAATATCTTCCTGCTGGCAAATTTAAAATATGTCCTTACTTTTTGATTATGGAGCCTTCTCTTGGATTTAATTTGGACTGGAAACAGAAAATAAAATACAATAAAGTTTAAGTATCCTTGGGTTTTACTTTTATCCCTGAACATGATGAGATGGACTGTCCCAAGTCCTTCTTAAATGGCAAGTTCTCACCATCAGCAGAGCACAGCCAAATATTCTGAAGAAGCAGCTACATCAGACAGGGTATGTATGCATATGTGTGTGGCTGGGAGTGTGTAAGAGGGAGAAAAGAGGGAGAAAAAGAGACCACATGTGAGAGCACAGTTAGTTGGAAAGTCTAGACCATTACAAAAACTATTTGTTCCAATTAAAACTCCTGATTAAATCATCTACTAGGCTATTGACTATAATGCTAAACAAATAAAAATGTCACACAGTTGAACGGTGATGGCAAGTATCTTAGAAAGAGTCAAACATACTTGTAGCATGAAGAAGAGTAAGACTGTTGCAAATACCTCTATCAAATACTCTTACCCATTCCAAAAAAAACCCTGACATTAAAAAAATAATAATAAAGTAGGTCACAAAAAGATTGGAAGTACCACTTTTCTTCAGATATGATTTCTCAGTATAGCCGGCTACTAGTTTTCACCAAATGCAAGCAAGGTGACACAATCAAGGAAACATTCCCATTTTGGAATCCTTTTTGGAAACTTCAGAAAACATTAACACTTTCAAAATAGTGAAGTTTCTTTACCACAAAACTTCTCCTGAAGAAACCTCAGTATACTGTAGGCAGATAGTACACCTTACTGCCAGAGAACACATCTGATATTGTGGCACTGGTAAAGACAGCAGCTCTCCATGTCATGGTCACCCACTGCTTTCTTCATCAGTACGCACTAGGGTGCAAGACTGTCATCAATTCTGAAAGAAATCTAATCTCTTGTTGTGAAAGTATTCTACTGTTTCAAGTGCCAACCCTTGAATAATCGCCTGTGTAAGAGGATTTGTCATGAAAAATCTACTATTGTGAAAGTTGCCAGATTCATGAAAGCCAAGACTTTCAATCAAGAGCTTCTTGAGAGGTTTTGTCAAGAAATGGGAGCTCTATGAAGTTCTCTGCTATATGTAAGTTCACTGCTTTCAGAAGACAAATTCTACAGCCTGATACTGTTGTTTACAGGGTAAAATACACTCTATTTAAAGAGTTTAACTCTTCAACCTTGAAAGTAAAATATGGAGTCATAATCTTTTCCTTCCTAACACACTATTAATGTTACAGATCTTGCCAAAAATGATCTCAGTAACTTGAAGGCAAAGAAAATGATGCAACATGCATTTATCTCAAATCTTGGAGAAGTCTTATTTCTTGACAAGTCTACTTTCATCAGGCAAGAGAATCTTCAGATTCCATTTACTCTTTTTTCTTTTGTAAAATAGCATTTTCAGCACTTTTTACCAAAGTCAACACTGATTGGATATCAAAGATTGGATATAAAAGTTGCAAAGTCAAAGAGCATAGTTTCAACTTGTTATTTTAAAAGTTAAATACCAGTTTTTTCATTAAAATTTCGTATTGAACAGAACTAAAGCTTAATTTTGGTTAATTTGTACCACTTAGATTTATTCACTGCTCTCAGGTAGTGGCCACTGGTTTTTGCATTAAAAAAAGTGACATAGTTTTCATGAAAGTTCTTTTACATTCTGTTTAAAATAATGTATTTCAATGTAATAAAAACTATGTGCAAAATTTTATGTACACTATGTACATTTTTTGGTGGGAGAACATTTATACCTTCCATCAGACTTTTAAAAGGTATGTAACACAACTTAAGACCCCCTGGCTTAAATCTAGTGTTCTGTGCCTCCACATTACAAAATCTTTCTATTTTATTACAAAAATTGTTTTACCTGACTTTTTTCCCACTACCAAGTTATCTGCTGCTCATCAACTCGGTTTTAAATTTCTACCATCGCTTTTGCTACTGCATTTTAATTTTTTTTTTGAGATGGAGTCTCGCTCTGTCACCAGGCTGGAGTGCAGTGGCATGGTCTCAGCTAACTGCAACCTCTGCCTCTTGGATTCAAGCGATTCTCCTGCCACAGCATCCTGAGTAGCTGGGACTACAGGTGCGCGCCACCACACCCAGCTAAGTTTTGTATTTTTAGTAGAGACGAGGTTTCACCATGTTGGCCAAGATGGTCTTGATCTCTTGACCTTGTGATTCGCCCGCCTTGGCCTCCCAAAGTGCTGGGATTACAGGCGTGAGCCGCTGCGGCTGGCCTATATTTTTAATCAGTAAAAGCAACTGTTTCCCTGCAGATGATAATGGGATAAATCAAAGTAAAAATCTTTAGATCCTCAGCTCTATAATTTATGCCAGTGCTATCATTCCAAGGTGCAAACAATATGCAGAAATGTAAGGCAATCTACCATAAACTTCAACATTCACCAAAATTATGCACTAATGTAAGATTCAATTTTGTAAACTATCAACAATAAATAGTACTTTGGCATCCTTATACATAATGCAAAAAAAGTCACAAAGGTAAGGAAACAAGACATGAGAGAGGGGTAAAGGAACAAGGAATCAATGCAACTACACAGCTTTAAATGATTAATATGATCATTCTATTTCTGTTTTACAGTTGAATTAAGAAGAAATTAGCTTAACATGAAGGGGAACTCTCTAAATGAGTTTTTCTATCTGTCTGGAGGGGCTTAGGCTTTGTCCCTTTAGAGATGGAAAAATGAACAAAATCTCTTTGTATTAAATTTTAACATGTTTTGCCATACTTACCACTCAAAGAAATACATCAACAGCAAAATTAAATCACTGTAAAAGTTCTCCAAGAGTTTTCTTTTTGCTTTCAGATGTACTATAAGTATTAAATTTATCACTGATTTTTCAATATAGTCCTTAGTTTTCTGATCAAAGAATCAAGAATCTTCTATTAATCTAACTACATTTATGAATATTCTTATAAAAGAATAATTTTTATGTATTATAAAAGTTCACACTTTACTAGGTAATGGTATTTTATCCAAAGCCATTCTATGCTCAAACAAGCTTCAGAAATATAAGCTTATTTTTGATAGCTTTTTAAAAATGTTATTTTAAAAGAATTTTATGAGACCAAATCTGCAATATAGTTAATGGGTAACATGTGCTAGTATGATATGAAAATGGTAGCATGAACAGAAAAATGAAATCAGTCATTTCTCATACAGAAATTGAGGCAGCAACTGATTTAAAAATTTAGAAGAAATAAGGATTAGCAACTATTTTTAAAACCTGTTTTCCAGGGACTGATGGTGGGGCGGGGAGGGACACAAGATGAACAAGATCTGAAGATCTACTGGACAGCACAGTGACTATAGTTAATAATAACATTGTATAACTGAAAATTGAAGCTTGTAGATGTTAAATGCTTTCACCTTGAAGGGAGAAGAATAATTATGTGAGGTGATGAATATGTTAAGTACCTTGACTGTAGTGATCATTACACAATGTATATATACATACATCAAAAGATACTATACATTGTATTTATATATAATTTTTACTTGTCAATTATACCTCAATAAAACTGAAGGAAAAAAAAAAAAAACACCCAGTATCTGTTTTCCAATAAATTCTCAGATCTAGGAAGAGGAAAGGAAAAACATCAAAAAATAACGTACCTTTTTGTCTCTGGTCCTTACTTCCCCATAGAAATCTAGGGCCTCTTGTGCCTTTAAAAATTTGCCCCGATGTAATAAATATGCACAAATCATTACACCAGTTCGTCCCTTTCCAGCTTTACAGTGAATTGCTGCAACATGATTGTCATCTTCACTTAGCCATTGGTCAAGATCTTCACAAAAGGGTTTGATCAGTTCTAGCTGTGGTGGGTTATGGTCTTCAAAAGGATATTGTGCAACTGTGGTAAAAAGATAACCTCAGAATAAGAAAAAAAACTCCTGTATTTTTAATTACAAGTAGGTTAACTTTAGAAATGTTGCATACAAACTTAACAGGTATTTAAAAGAAACACTAGATTCCAGAGAAAAATAATGTATTGCTTAACTTTCTAATTTTTAAATAGAAAATAGTCTCTTGATAAGTCTCAAATATAATCATTAAGGAAGGCAAGTATTATTTTCCCCCATTTTATTCAGAAGGATATATTCTAGGAATTTACACTATACGGACTGACAGCATAGGTCACATATTAGAGGTACAGCTAAACCCAAAATGAAATGTTACATGGACATTTCATCAGGACTCTCAATGCAAAAGGAATACTATTTATAGTATTTATTTCATCATCACAAAACATATTCCAAAGACAGAATAGATTACTAATAAACTATAGAAAGAACTGCATATTACATTTCATAAAATAAAAATGCTAAGTGTGTTATTTAAAGGTGGTCCTGCAAATATTAGTGTTGTATACACATGTAAATCATTAGGGAAGCCAAGTACTATTTACCTCCATTTTCTGCAGGAGAATACATTCTGGGAATTTACGCTCAATGGACTGGTAGCATAGGTCACATACAGAGATATGTGAAGGCATACACCAAAGAAATTACTTATAAAATGTATATAATTGTTATCAAAGTTTCAGGTCTTCTCACATGAATTATAAGAGTCCAAGACTTCTCTGTTCACTATAGTCAGAGATGAGGTTTTAAAAAAACCTTGTTTAGAAACAGGACTATAGATATATCACTATTAATTGTTCTTAATAGTTTCTACCTTAGTTCCACTCTATTAAGATCCTTAAAAACTCTGACTGATACTCAACGTACTATCCTGTGTTACCTAAATATGTGAGAAGTATGTCTTATATCTCCAATCAAGTCACTCATAATATGGTACAGGATACAATCAATTATCCTTTGGTGTGACAGGACAGCTCTTCTGGTAGACAATGACTATCATTATAGGGAGTCCAGAAGGACAGCTTTCACTTAGTCATCTGCCTAACTCCATTTTCCCAGTGGTACACAAAAACCTCCAGGAAAACCTGTTAAATGTCTATTTAAAGCAACATAAACAACTAAAGCCTGCTTTGCCTAGTAAACAACAATCTAAATCCACCAAAAACAAAAACAAAACGTTCTTAGTGAATCTATACCAAATCTCAATCATGAGTGATTTAGAATTTTCAAACCATCTGTCTGAAAGTCCATTCTAGATTTTCAGGAGGGATCAATGGCAAATACATCAATAGTAGCTCATGGCACCCACTTTCTCTTTTTGACTATCACAGCGGCATCTGCCTAGCTTCTCAACTCTTCAGTTCTCTAATGGTTTAAAGTGTTAGGTCATAGAACTGAGCTGTATTTCACAAATAAAAGTGAAAGTTTTTGTGGGCTCTGAGAATTAACTTATGTCTGAAGTAGAACTCATTTAAAGCAATTCCCTCCTCTCATCCATCAGGTTTCTCTTATCAACATTTGTTATATCCTTTCCTACCTTTTATGTCATTCCTCAACACAGAAGAGTTAAGTAGTTCTGCTTTCTCCCTATAGTTGCTTACTATTAGATCTATTGCCTTAAACAGTAGGTAAACCCTCTCCTTATACTATTTTTAGTCTAGGAATTTTCCTAATTCTTAGTCTACTCTGCACTTCAGTCTTCCTGACAATATTAATAGCTTTATGCAATACTTTTTTTCTAAAAAACAGCAAAATTAAATTTTTTGGAAATTTTTAAGATACTTCTTAAGATAAATACGTATCTCACTCAATAATCTAGATGACTCATTATTATGACAGTTAAGATATAGTCTATCGGGTTTAAGTTATACAGCATAGTACAGTACATTCATACCTACCTCTGCAATTAAATTTGGCGGTGTCATAATGTCTTTCAGCACAACTAAAAGAAAAGTTTAAAAGTGATATATAGTTATCTTTTGCATTTAGGAAGAAAAAAAGTACTAATATTAACAAACATTGCCTGAATCTTTATAATGTGACACATATTATGCTGTTTAACATTAATTATTTCATGTAATAAGAATTCTATTAAGTAGATACTATTATCACCCCCATATTATAATAATAAAACCAAAGCTTAAAAGATTAAGTGTATGCAATCAGAGCTAATAAATTTGCTTACAAAACTTGTGATATCACTAATATAGAGTACTGCAAATTCAGGTGCTTCCATGCTTTCAAATTTCCTCTATGAAAAATTTGCATGCTATTGGAATTTTTTTTTTTTTTTTACAAGTACCTATAAACAACTGGCTAGTTTCAATAGTATCTGTATCTCATATTTAAGCATACATAATTCTCAAACTATTCTTCAAAAAGATATATGTTAAAAATAATAAAAGTATAAGGACAGTAAAGAAAAACTGAATGATGTTAATCTACTTGGACACAATGCTGACCAATTTTTTTTTTCTTTTTCGAGACGGAGTCTTGCTCTGTCACCCAGGCTGGAGTGCAGTGGCCAGATCTCAGCTCACCGCAAGCTCCGCCTCCCGGGTTTACGCCATTCTCCTGCCTCAGCCTCCCGAGTAGCTGGGACTACAGGTGCCCGCCACCGCACCCGGCTAGTTTTTTTGTATTTTTTAGTAGAGACAGGGTTTCACCATGTTAGCCAGGATGGTCTCGATCTCCTGACCTCGTGATCCGCCCGTCTCGGCCTCCCAAAGTGCTGGGATTACAGGCTTGAGCCAATGCACCCAGCCACCAATTTTTTTTAAAACAGATCTTTCTCCATGTTGAAAAGCCAATGGTCACCTTTTACAACAGTCTCTCAGGTTGCAAGTTTTAATTACAGTATGAGAGTAACGAAAGAATAAGCAAAAGCAATACAGAATAGTAAAACGCTGACTTGTCATTACTAGAGTATGCTAATATTTGTCTTAATAGCAGTGATATATTCGTTAGTATGTACTGGCTTTCTAATAATTAACAGCCCATGTTTACAAACAATACAAGGCTCAGAAAGAGATCTTATGTATCAGTGTGGCTAGCAGTAGCCTGGTAACTCCAACTACTATGCAAAACAATTTTTTAAAAAATTATTTAAAATAAAATCTTAGCATTTTAAAACAAATAAAGGTCCACAGATCCTTAACCTGCAATTTCAATATCCCAAAAGTTCAAAACATCTAACACTTCCTCTTAAGTTTTATGGCAAACTCAACTACAGCAAATCCTGATCTGAAGTAATAAGACTGTATATAATCTTTAATACACTTAGAGTGAACAGTGAAACATTTCATTTCAGGTATTGACCCACATCCCACTGGGGTGTTTATGTAAAAGTATACGCATCTGTGTTACCTTTTGAAAACTAAAATTTCTGAAAATGGAAACATTCCTGGCCCCAAGAGTTTCAAATAAGTGATTGTGAACCTGTATTGTACATTTAGAAACCCTGAAAACATCTATATAGTTTCTCTACTTTAAAGGAAATTCAAAACCAAATTCACATGAAGGTTTAACCAATTATAAATAAACTGAAATCCACTGGTTTCTAACTGGTCAGACCTAAAATAAAACAACTTTCATATTACCACTCAAAACAAGCTTTTCCTTTTTAGTATAATTTAGTATACTGAATTTTTTTAGAAAGAAAATGTATTTAGCAATGACATATGCACATACATGCATCCTTGCTAATAATTTCATATCCACTGATATGAAAAACAGGAAGAAGAGGACTGACAAAGAAGACAGTCACATTTTACACTTTCTTTGGTACAGATAAAAGAGGAGAAATTGTCAATAGTGAAGAATTCATAATGGAGTATTTTATAAGGAATCAGAGATGTAGGACTAGGAAACAGAATCTAAGAAGCTGGTCTCGTGACAACACAACAGAAAATAAACATTAGTTTTGTGCAGCTTCAGTTCTCTAAACTTCCCCTACTTTCTCAGAATCCCAGAACATGTGGTTTGACGAACACTCCTTAAGATTGCCTTAATAAAAATGGCTCTCATATATTACTGTTAAGAGGACTATATGGATGGAAAGTGGAAGTAATGACTACTAAGTGTCAACTAGATGAACACACCTTACAAAGACTTTCCACTTTTTTTGTTTCATCCTCACAACCACGTGATAACTGCTAATATTATCTTCATTTTATATAGGAGAAAGCTAAGATTTAAGAGCATTAAAAAACTTGCTCCAAATAACAGCATACAAATGAAAGAGCAAGAACTCAAGCTCAGTATCTCTGATTACAAAAGTCAAACTTTTTCTACTACTGTTCCATAATTCTACTTATAATAAAAAAACAAAGTTTTACATACAAAAGCAATAAAAATTTTAGTCAAAGCCAGCATTCCTACAACAGCAGTATCTGTCATAAATGATAGAACCAACAGTGACAGTAAAAAGCAAGAAAAAAGTTATGAAAATCTTCACAGGTAAGCATAGCAAATATGGGAGCAAATATACCGTGGCTGGTAATGATAAATGTGCTCAGGGAATGGGGGTTGGTAGGATAAGGATGAAGACTTTCTTCTTAAATTAAAATCTCTGATAAATGCCCTCCTTCGACCTACCACCTACCCAGTTTCTTTTAAATTCTTTGCGGTTTGGTAGTGATAAGTCTCGCAACGAACTAAAATTAAAGATACACAAATGGCAAATGGGGTTTAACCATTTAAATTTAACCATTTATATTTCCTTATAACTAAAACTCAAAAGATGCCATTACCTCATATTGGCTTATATAAGACAAGAGAAAGGAATAAACATTTGAAGAATGAGTTTTTATGAAACAAGAGGCAGAAACTGAAGAAAAGAATAAGATTAACAGGAAAAGCTTCCAGAGAAGTGAGACTTGACATAGAATCAGCTAGGTAGGCAGGTCTCTTCTTTACTCTCTTCAATGAAGCTATCACCATCTTACAAAAGAAAACTTAGTAGATAAAAATTAGTAAAGCTAAAGGTTTACCACAAAATGATAAAGCATGTCAAATAAAATATGCACTGAAATACAGTAAATACCTTTTAAAAATGAGTATACAGTGAACACTTAAATTCCTCAAAGGTAAGAAGTATAGATCTCTTTATTCACTATCTCCCCTTCCCCATTCCTACCAGATTATAGAGCAAAGAACAAAAATAAAATATACTTGTACAAAACAAACTTATTAATTCAATTAAGTAACAGTACACCTGAATTTGCTTAATGTTATGAATGCCTGAAGAAAATAGATATAAAAAGATACAATTAAACAGAAAGTCCATATTAAGAACTCTTCTTCACCATGTATATAGTAATTGCTGTAAAAGGTTTAACATACTATTAAATGTGGGTACGCCTAGTGCAAATATTTTAAGATCTTCAAATTATGTTTGCAAAGACATATATATCACATGTAATACTATCCTAAAAATAAAGGAAATAAAATAGAACACCTGCAGCTTGCCAGACTCACTTACCCAGAACCAGAAATATAAACAGAGGTAGAAAAAAGATAAAGAAGATTGGAAAGTGACATTAGAACTCATAACATGCTATAACTTAGTAATTCTAGCAACTTCTGAAGTCAGTAAAATTTGGAGGTTAAAACGAACAAGCAAAAAAGCAAAACATAAAGGGAATATTGGCATAAACAGTGGACGGTCTGCTACCATATGTACCTGTGTGACCTTGTTCAACTCACTTAACTTCTCTAGGCCTCAGATTCCCCATCTGTAAAATGAGAAGGTTGGACTAAATGATCTCTTTCAGGTACTCTCCCGTTCTGAAAGCCTATGATTCCATGTGGGGAAGGGGCATTAAAATATATGCATTAAAAGCTACCCTCAACTACTAAAGAAACTTCATTAACTTGGGAATCCAATGTTTGGGAATATAAAAACAAACAGGCAGTCAGGTTCCTAGGCTCTCTGCAATGCCAACTTTAACCATAATAATGTAAGTGACCTACAATACTGAGAGTGCAGCTGAAGTCCTAAGTTCTTGAAGCAGGAAGTCACTACACACAGAAATGAAAAGAATTTCCTTCCCTTTCTTTGAATATGTTAAACTAGAATAAAATTTTGAAAAAGGCAGAATTTGTCTCAGGTGTCCTTCGATCTCCATTCTGAGACTCTCTAAATCCCCAATTCTGATAGTCTAACCCTGAAATGACTCAGTTTAATGGCTTCCAGCTTTTGAAAGTTCGTGTCCTTTTTTATTACTTAGATTCTGAATCCAGTGGTGCAAAAAGTACAAAGCTTTGTGGTTTTTCTTTTCCTCCAAAGAAACACTATGGTATCTGGAACAAGGCTCTTTGTAGGAGAGGTTTATTAGGAAAAGAGAAAGACCCCTAAATGCATAGATCATTTGTACGCTGGGCCCATTAAGTTTCTATAACACCTTTTACTTTCTTTTATCTTATTGCCTATTGCCACCGTGATTCTCTCCCACCCTCAACACACAGACACCACAATCTGATGATAATGAATTCACTGCCATATTCTAAACACTTTTATGCCAACAAGCTTCTTATAATGCCATTCCTTTGGCCTGTAATGTCACTTCCCCTCCTCTCCTTGGCTTGAAAGTCAACCCTTACTGGTTCTTTTCACCCTAGCTCAAACATGCCTTCCTTTATGAAACCTTCTCTATAAGGTACAATTACTATTGCCAGTATTCTCTTCATTGCAACCTCTATACAAGAGTTACTTCTGTAATGCTTTGTCTACCTTTTACATTAGAATGTAAGCTACTTGAGAACGGGAACTACATCTTATTCACCTCTGTACGCACCCCTCAACATGTTTTGTGATATCTAATAAGTGATAAGGACTTAACATACGTTTGTTCCTTCATGAATCTGAGAAAAACCAGTGAAAATTTACTGAGAGTAACAATATTGATGTCCACTCCACTCTAAGTACTTCTGGCGTTTTAT